CCGGTGTAACACAAGCATACTATTTTTTTTATAAGTATAAAGAATACATTCTAAATGATAAAAAGTATAGTATAATGAATACATAAACCTATAACATAGTCTTTTATCATTATCAAGTATTATGTACTATACATAATTGTATGTGCTATACTTTTATACAACTGGCAGCGCAGTAAGTATGTTTACACCAGCATTACACTACATGAGGCTGCTGCCGGTGTAACACAAGCATACTATTTTTTTTATAAGTATAAAGAATACATTCTAAATGATAAAAAGTATAGTATAATGAATACATAAACCTATAACATAGTCTTTTATCATTATCAAGTATTATGTACTATACATAATTGTATGTGCTATACTTTTATACAACTGGCAGCGCAGTAAGTATGTTTACACCAGCATTACACTACTACATTGTGATGGCTATGATGCAAGTATGCAATAGGAATTTTCAGCTCCATTATAATCCTATGGGACCACTGTTGTATATGTGGTCTGTCACTGACTGAGACATTGATATGTGGTGCATGACTATAGAATATGCTCCAGTGATCATAGAAAGGTTGCTTTTATAAATAAAATTTTTTGATTGAATATGATTATGGAGAGACAAACATTAAGGAGGAATAACAATAATAGAAAAAATTTCAGTCTGTTTCAGAGGGCTTTTAGACTGAAAAGCTTCTCTGAGAAAATACTGGAACTTAATCTACTCTACCATCTCACTCAACCTCTCAAAGGAAAGACATTTCTTGAAAAAGATCTTGTTACTTTCATTTAAAATGGCAGGAGTCTCACATTTGCAAAACACCAACAAGAGAGTTTCATTCTGTAATAAACACATGAAATACTTATTAAGAAAGAAGTAGTTATGTATTTTAAAAATTTCTGATTGCTTTCATTTTCTGATTGCAGTTTAGAGCTCACAGTCTACCATTTCCACTATGAATTCATAGCCACATGATCTCCCCACTCCCTGACTTACAGTAGCCTCCAATTTCCCTCTTTTATCTACTGGGCTAAAAATTGTGCTCAGAGATATTACCCTGGTGTTCTTAGTACTTCTTCCATGTTATCAATCCTTTCAGCCACCTCTTGATAACTGTCCATCCAATTCCTCATATTTATTGCTCCAAATCTTTACCACTTTTCTATCTTCTCCCTCCTAGAGGTATTGCTATTTCCTTTTAAGGTTAACAACGAATCATAATCCCAAATGTTCCCACCCATACATCTAAGTAGAAAAATGGATTTTATACTGTAACACACCTTTTCATTCCTAAAGCAAAAGAAGCAAAATAGAAATCCTGGTTAGAACTGAAACACTTGTCTATTAGTCACACTTCCTCTTAAAACAAAGAAAGGCAAAGTTATTACAAAATCAGAGGCACGAATGAGAATCTGAAGCACTAAATAGATGACTGATTTTTTTTACTGTAATTTATTTATTTTTAAAATAAATCTTTATTGTTCAGATTATTACAGTTGTTCCTCTTTTCCCCCCGTAACTCCCCCCACCCAGTTCCCACCCCACCCTTTGCCCTCACCCCCCCACTGTCCTCATCCATAGGTGTACGATTTTTGTCCAGTCTC